GCTCGTGTGCCTTGCACAAGCACCCTTGCTCAAACACCCACGCACAAGTACCCTGCGAGGACCCTCCCACGGAGCCTCACGCAGCCTGGCACCAGCACCCTGGCACAAGTACATTGGCACCAGCACCTTCACACAAGCACCCTGGCACAAGTACATTGGCAACAGCACCCTTGCACAAGCACCCATGCACAAACATCCTGGTATGAGCACCCTCGCACAAGTACATTGGCAACAGCACCCTTGCACAAGCACCCATGCACAAACATCCTGGTATGAGCACCCTCGCACAAGTACATTGGCAACAGCACCCTTGCACGAGTACATTGGCATGAGCACCCTCACACAAGCACCCTGGCACGAGCACCCTGGCACGAGCACATTGGCATGAGCACCCTTGCACGAGCACCCTCAGACAAGCACCCTAGCATGAGTACATTGGCACGAGCACCCTGGCATGAGCACCCTTGCACAAGCACCCTGCCACCAGTACCCTCTCACGAGTACATTGACATGAGCACCCTTGCACAAGCACCCTTGCACAAGTACATTGCCACAAGCACCATTGCACTAGCACCCACACACAAGCATCCTGGTATAAGCACCCTTGCACAAGTACATTGGCATCAGCACCCTCACACGAGTACATTGACACAATCACCTTTGCACGAGTGCCCTCGCACGAGTACATTGGCACCAGCACCCTGCCAGGCCGTACCCAAGTAGCTGTTGGTTGTCACCGTCCCTCCGTGGTGTGTGTCCCCTTCGTGGGTGCCCCCCCATGATGTGTGTATCCCCCTCCCACCCCCAGTGCCTCCTCCTCCTCCTCCTCCTCTTCCTCACCTGGCTGAGCCCCAGGAGCCGGTTGACGTTCTCGGAGAGGAAGATCATGTCCCCGGCCTCGCTCAGCACCATCACGAACCCGCTCAGCGCCTTCAGGTAGCACCCGTCCACCTCCTCTGCCGCCGCTGCCCAGGCACCTGGTGGGGGGACAGGGACGGGGGGCTCAGGGGGCTC